TCCTCTGTCCCACTATCTCATCTGCCACAGATAACTGACATTAAAGGCACATTTTCTTAGGCCTTTTTAATTTTTTAAAATTTTATTTTTATTTTATGTGTATGATTGTTTTATCTGTATGTATGTCTGTGCACCACGTGTGTGCAGTGTCCAAGGCGGTCAGACAGCATTAGATTCTTTAGAACTGTAGTTGTAGACAGTTGTGAGTTGCCATGTTGGGTGCTAGGAATTGACCCTGGGTTCTCTGTAGGAACAGTTAATGCTTTTAACTGATGAGTCATCTCTCCAGCCCTACTAGGCATTTTTTTTATGTATGCACCAAAATATACGTTTATATATTTAATAGAAATGCACTTACAAATAAATATACTTTTGCAGGTTATTTTTTTTGCTGCCGTTTTCAGTGTTTGTTTTCCCCACTACATATTAGTTGCCTTTGTGTTTTTCTTTTCTGTTCTCTAAATGTATCTATGCTCTAAGCTTATCAGTCCCCCAATTTCCAGATATCTGAGTTTATTTCTAGGTGAGTGGTTATCATGAGTAGCTTCATGCTTCCTTTCCTTCCGGCTCCTTTTTCTGGAGAAGCTTCTGCTATTCCCCTTAGTTACTCTGGTTCTTGGCTTCTAGCCCTTCCCCTGGTCCTTCTTTGTGGGCTGTAGAGACACCACTGGAGAGGACCTTCTTGCTAGTCTTCAGTTTTCCTCCCCATGGCCTTCCCTCTTGTGCTGAGAACCTTCTTCACTGCCCTTCATCCTGGGAATTGAGTCTCCTAAGCCAGATACTTATGATCTTGCATTCTCCTTGGTTTTCTTCTCACTATTTTCTTTTCACTTTTCTCTCTCTCCCTGATGCCTCCCAGGACCCTATGGTCCAGCCATGTGGCTTATTTGGTCAGTCACTTGGGTACAGTAGTCTCTTCTCTTTCCTAGCTGGCTATTCTGCTAAGAATGCCCCTCAACTCTCATCAGGGCTGGGGACCCTTCTGGTCTTGTGCCCCAATATCTTCGCATAGCACTGATCTTTCATTAGAAACATGACCTTGACATGGAAGAGTGAGCCCTTCCATGTGCTCTCCCCTGATCTCATTGGAGAAGGTCTTGTCCCCAAGGGCCCTGGAGGGTGTGCGTAGAGGAAGGTCATGTCTTTGACTTTAGATGTGTGTCTACCTCTGGATGTCCTCCTCAGGTGAATGGTTGTTGGGACCAGCATGTGATTGGCTGAGCCCCTCCAAATTGCTAGAAGTAAAGTAACCTGAGAAACTTTATGGCTTCAGTGGGTCAGCCCCTTTCCATCAATTTAGGAAGGCACCATTGTAAACTTAGAGAAGGTCTCCCTGGGAAAGGGGATGCTCATGGAATACTAACTAGGAGTGTCTGTGGACAAGGGACAGCCATCATCTCCTTTGACCCCTTTCCACTGGGCTGGGCTAGGTCAGTTCTGCAGACTTGTTTTAAAGCAACTGTGATTACTCATTCTAGGTCAAGATTAATAATGTCTTCTGAGAAGTTAAAAGAGAACCCTCAGCCTTATCCGGTAAGAGAGCAATAAGAGTGAACAAAGGGAGAGGGCATTTGGGAGCCACACAAAGTGTCACTTGTCAGCATACAAGTCCACTAGCTTCTGTACCAGGCCTGCAAACTTAAGATTATTTATAGGACCAAGTGGTAAATTAGGTGAGCCTAATAAGCAGGCTCCTCTTCCCTCTTTTCCTCTCCTCCCCATGCCCCACACTGAGGACCGAGCCCAGGACCTCAAGTAAGTTAGGCAAGTGTAACACTGACCTATATCCCCAGCCCTAATATTTTGTTTTGTTTTTGAGATAGTGTCTCACTGTGTATCTCTGGCTGGCCTAGAACTCACTATGTAGACCAGGCTGGCCTCAAATTCACAAAGATCTGCTTGCCTCTGTCTTCAGAGTGCCTGGATTAAAGGCACACACAACCATGCCCAGCTCTATTTTTTTATTATTTATTTTCTTCATTTTTTTCTCTTGAATTTTTATTCCTGGGAGGGGGTAGATTTGAAGGGATGGTGTATGAATGGGATCAAGATACATGCTATGAGAAACACATAGAATAAAAATATTTGGTATTAGTAATGATAAAAAGAGTGCTTACTGTTTTTCCAGAGAACTGAGTTTGGGTCCTATCACCCAGATTGAGTGGCTCATAACCACCTGTAACTAGCCCCTGGGGATCTGATCTATACTCTTGCGCACACACCCACACAATGACACACACAACATACATGTAAAGAAGAGTAAAACTTTGGAAGAATAGTCTGAGTCTCTGTGGACAGGGTCACTCTACAAGTAGTCCCAGAGAGGCAGCATTGGAAACTTAGAAACCCCCAACTCTATGGCGACAGGCATAGCTGTAGGCTGGCACAGTTAGATGACAATTTTATTTGGAAAGATGGCTACTAATCTCTGCATTGGATAACACTGTGATTTGGCTGAAGGGCAACAAATCCCCTGAACTTACAGTGATGAGGGGTCAGTATCATCTATAAAGGGGAGATGTGTGTGTGTTTATCCTGCCCTTTCTAGGGAAGGATGGCTGTGGGCCCAGCTCTATTTTTTAGAATCTTTATTTACTTATTAGTTTTTGAGACAGGGTTTCATTATGAAGCCCAGGCTGGCCTCATATTTGTGGTAGTCCTGCCTCAGCATCCCAAGTGCTGGCTGGGATTGCAGATGTGTGCTTTCATAGTCACACATTTAGCTTGGCTTCTTCTTTGACAGCACAGCATGGGCCAAATACTACACACATGAGGATATCAATTCACTGTCTGTATATGGCCTATACTTAATTATGTTCAGCAAAGTTGTGATAATAGTGAGTTTATTATATAAGTTATCATCAAGCTAGATATATGTCACATTATCTGTTCAGTGCATGGGATGGGAAATACAGAGAAAATGAAAGTTATGGGGAAACACAGAGATAATGAAAATTATGATTAAGTTAACTGGATACATCCTCATCTTCTTGAGTCTCATTCTGAGATATGTCACAACAACTATCATTATTTATTGTAAAGCCATTTTCCTGGGGCTTCATGTGCCATTTAGGTCTTCAGAACTCTGCATGCCGTGGATTTCTATTTCTCAGGTGAAGAAATCAGTGGCTCAGAGAGGTGATGAAAACTGCCCAAGATAAAATAGCTTGTAAGTAGGAGAGCTAGCTGTAATTCTGACTCAGAGCTCAGATCTCTGCAACCATGTGCTTCCTCTCATGCTTGCTGTCCACAGATGGAGATGCCCTAGAGTGGTAGAAATGACGAGAGCTTGGGGATATTAGGGGTGGCAGTGATGGCTCTCAACCCAATGTTAAGAAAAAACTCCTTGGAGAAAACGCTGGTAGAGTGGGGTTTAGCTGTGGGGTAGGTGGGCAGTGCTGAGGATAGCATACAAGCTGAGAGGTGGAGTGCATGCTGTGTTGGAGTGGTGGGTTGCAGTCGGTGTGCCTGGGACATGGTGTGTGCCTTGGGAAAGCTAGACTGTGATAGGCTCTGAATGCTATGCTTAGGAATCGGAAGTAGCGGGAGCGGCCATGGAGTGTGTCTTAGCTGGGTAAAGTCATGACCATATTTGCCTCCTAGGAAGACGACTGGTATCAATGTTGAGAGATGGACTGGAAAGGAAGGGCAGACCCTGGTCTTGGGGAAAAGGTCATTGTGCTTGTGCCTGCCATAAGCCAGAGTTTGGGGTGGGACAGGGACTGGGAGACAGATATCAAGAAGAATGATCAAGGGGAGCAGTGAGAAGGCACAGGGAGGAGAGGGAAGGGCTGAGACAGTGCTGGTGTTCCCAAGGGGTCTTAGGTGGATGGTAAGAGTGTCAACTCCATCTGATTTGTGAAGGCGGGATTCTCTGCTTTGTCCCTCGTTGCTTGGATCCACAGTGCCTGGTGCTCAGTAAGAGTGTGTAATCATGAGGGAATTTGTGGATATTCATAGGAGCCCAAGCATGTTTGCCCCTTTGGTAGAGCTGAAGTCCCTTAGAGCGTTCTAAGCTAGGAGGGGTGACAGACTCCTGTAATCCTAGCACTTGGGAGGTTGAGGCATGAGGATGTCAAAGCCAGCTTAGGCTACATGGTGAGACCCTCTATAATAAACAAAACAAACAAAACAAAAAGAGGAGCCTGTGTCCTCTAACCTTGCTGACCCAAACATGGCATCCATAAGAGAAAAATGGTTACCTTTACTATCACAAGAAAGCCTCTAGACCCTTCTTCATCTTTGTAGGATTAAAATATGTAAGAAAGAGTAAGGAAACCCTACTTCTTCCATCAGTGAGCAACAGTCACAGAGATTTACCTTGTAAATAAGATGTGCCAACAAACATTTGGCTCAGGGAACTGTCTTAGTGCCTAGTTCTTGCGGTCATTATTTGTCCCAGCTGGCCTCTCCACGTGGATCCCGTGACAAGAAGACTTCTGATTCCCTGGCCGTGACAAGCACTGTTAGCCAGAAAAACGATGCCAACAACAGGACTCAGAAGTTTAATGAAATGCACCTGGCCGACCTACAGAAGGTTTTTGAGGCGGAGACAGATGAGCATGGAGGTACAGCCATACTACAGGATGGGCTTTGTGACTCCTGCCCTGGGCCTGGTATCTGGGGTGTGGAGGGCTCACACCTGGCCAGCACTTTTATGTCTAGTGTCCTGTTTAAATCTAGGTAAGTGGTACAAGAATATTGAAAGCTATTTGGAATCCAAGATGTTTTTAAAATCCTGCTATCCCAGATACCCAAGTCTACCCTGCTGCATTTTGGTATGTTCCCTTCTAAGCATTTTCAGTCTGTGGTTTGTTATCAATTGCTGTATGACAGCTGCCCCAACTTGTGGCTTAACCCAACTTGTGCTCATGATGTTATAGTTTCCATGGGTCTGGAGTGAGGACAAGGCTGAGCTGCCTTCCTGCTCAGGACCCCAAAAAGCTGCAGTTCTGTAGTCAGCTGGGCCATGGTGTCATCTGGGGCTAGACTCAGGAAGGACTTACGTTAAGCTCATATACATTGTTCCAGAATTCAGATCCTTGTGACTGTGGTATGGAGGCCTTTCATTTCTTTCTGACTGTTGCCAGAAGGTTGCCCTCAGCTCCCAGAAGTTACCCTACAGTGCCTGGCTGTGTAAGATTCACCAACATGGCAGCTGGCAAGGCTTGAGCCAAAGGTAGAGCAACACTCACAGGTGTCACAATCTTATGGTCACAGGGCTGTAAGCAATGATGTGATACCCTGTTGTCTAAAAGCAAGTCAAAGGCCTCACACTAAGTAGGAGGGGACCACTGGAGGGTATGAACATCAGGGCCCACCCATCCTGAGGGCCTCTGTAAATATTTTTAATCTTTAATCTTCAGATACTAATTTGAAGTAGAAAATATTCTGAGCTGAGGAAGCATTTCACACCAACTGACCAAACTCTAGCTTAGCCTCCCTTACCCAGATGTGTTCAGAACACTCACTTACTTAGCCTCAGGTTGGGTAAAATCACCTAACACAATGCACATTTTTAAATAAAGTGTGAGATATCTCATGAAAGCATGAAACAGCAATTAAATGGGTTTGCATTTACACCTCTATAAAGTGGAAAAGCCCTAAGCTGGGGATTGTGTACATTATTACAGACCCTTCTTTTTCACATCATTTTAATATCTGAAGGACAGCATGGTGCCCTGGAGCCTCCTAGGCAAGCCTTACTAATGGGTCCAAGCATTCTTCCGTGACTGGAGCCATCCCTCCACTTTGCTTATTTGCATTCCGTGGGCTATAAATGATGTCCTGGGGACACCCTCTGCATACCAGACCTTTCTCCTTCTGGCAGCTTGATTTTTGCCCTTTGCAATGGTACTCCTGAAAGTCAAATAGGAGTAAAGGCATCTTCAGAGTTGACCATGGGTGCTAGCTCCTGGCCTACCTACTTTCCTGTTCATTTGAGTTTCACAGCAAGAGAGAGAAAGAGAGAGAGAGAGAGAGAGAGAGAGAGAGAGAGAGGCACAGACAGAGACAGACAGAGTGTGTGTGCCCTTGTGGAGGTTGGAAGTTGACATCAGGATATCTTCTATTGCCTTTCACCTTATTTGAGACAGGGTCTCTTCACCAGATCCGAGGCTTGTTGTTTTGTCCAGGCTGGTGGACTGCAAGCCACCAGGATCCAGCAGGCTTTGCCCTGCCTAGGACTGGGGTAACAGGCATGTGCTGCCATGTCTGGCTTTACATGTAGGTTCCTGGGATTGAACTCCTGTCCTCCTACTTGCAAGTGTTTCACCACTGAACTGGCTTTCCAGCCTGAGCTTTTTATTTTTAAACATCTGGCCATGGTGTTAGTTTGAGGAAGGAAAATTCCCTCCATATTGATGGAAGGTTAGGAAATCAGGCTGCTTTTTCTCTTTAGACACCTTCCACAAGGCTGTTAAGAACATGGGTGCCATTCCATTTCCTAGGCTCCTGGACACTAGCCCTGGTGGCTGGATGAGCAAGGTCATGTTGGTGCCTTCCTGTTTACCATGTGTCCTCCAAGCCAGGGAGTTCTTGCATCATGGGAGGCCCATGGCTCTGAAGAGACCTCCTTCCCTTCTCCTGAGGATTTGCAAGTGCAGAGGCAGTTTTCCTTTACCTATCTTCCTGCAGTGCTCATAAACTGTCATTGTCACCATCTGGGCATGGAAGGGGCATGGAGCACTACTTACAACATGTAAGTCTCTTGGCCCCAGCTTTACATACTTGAGACGGGCATCTCTCCAAACAAGCACATGTTACTCAGGCTCTCATCTCACCATCAGTCTAGTCTGATGGGGACAATGGCTGTAGCAGCACTGGGCTCCTGTTTATGAATAGAGCAGGGTGGTGTGAAGACCATGAGCATCTGTGGCCAGATGTTGAAGTTTCTGTCTGTCACTGCCAACCTACTGGTTGTGTGACTTTGGACAGGCAGCCTCAGTTTCCTTAAGTCCCCCTATGTGGCCATCATTCATAGAATGCAGAGCTGTCATTTCTTGGTGCCCACAGAAACACTCAGGGACTAGTGTTTGTGGAGTGCCCAGAACCAAGTGACAGAAGGGCTTTTGTGTACTTCTAGAGGTCATGGTGGAGTGGGAGACAGTGCCTGTGTCAGACAACTAAGAATGTCAGGCAACGGGGTTGGCAGCCTCTTCAGATGGTTCTTAGGAAGAAAGGCATCCTTGTAGAAAGATGAGCTAAACTTCAGCATGAGCCTTCCAGGCTGTGGAAGGCCCTGTGGTGGGCATGGGCAGCGGGGGTTGGGGTGGGGGGGTGGTCCTGGAACTGGAACAGAGAGTATGGAGGACATGGGGGAAGATGATTCTTTCTGAACGGACCAAGATACTGCATGGCCTTCAGGCTGTGGTAAGGGTTCCAGTATTTGAAAGGGTTTTAGAAGTGATTTTTAAAGGCAATAATTATATTAAAAAAATTAGGGCCAACTGACACCTTTTCAAACTTGAACCCAGCTCAGGGAGGAAGTATTTTATGATGGCCTTGTCTTCCTCCATCTCCCCAGCTAGGCAAAGCATGCTGTTATTATTATGTCTTTCTGAATGACGTGTAGCCCAGGCTGGCCTTGAACTCTGAACTTTCTGTCTCTGCCCCCCACATGCTAGAATTATAGGCATATACCATCATACCTGACTAAAAGTTTTTATTTATTTTCATAAAGTGCTTTAAAAAGATGTATTTACCATACTGTGGAGCAGCTCAATAGTAGAGTACCTGCCAGCATGTGTGAGGCCCTGGGTTCGGATCCACAACGTGAAACTGCTGAGTCTCTCTCTCTCCGTGTGGCTGTTTATACTTTTCTCTCTCCCCATGCGGAGGTTGCTGCTCATCACCTGCCTCTGGTCTGTGGAGAGTTGTTGCTATGCTGTATCCCTTGATCAGAAGTGGGGCCTGGTCTTTTGAGACCTCTGTCCACCCTCCCTCCTGCTATGGGGTCAGCACAGTGACAGGAGTTCATGAGGAATGACTTGCATGTGGGCCAATGAGATGGGAAAGATAACTGGGTGATCACAGAAGCATCAGGGACCAGCTGGCCTGTGCTAAGGTGGATGCTGGGGCCTTGAGGGAAGAGTAAACAGGACCAAGCTCATGACTGATGTGAAGGGTGGGGGAGGGGCTGCCTCCTAAGGCGCCACACCTCTGGCTGGAGTTCTCCCATCTGCCTCCTTTGAGGGGGGTCCAACTGACAATCACAGACGGGTAGCAGAGAGGGTGTCTGGAGTGGGGTACCTGCAGCCTGTGGCCTGTGAGGGCCAAGCGACTTGTGATGAAGCAGTGGTGTTTTTCTCTCTTGAAGCCCTGGACAAGGAAGGTTTCATCAGGGTCATGAAGAAGGTGCTAAGCAGCATGTCTGAGGAGAAGCTGGAGGTGCTGTTCTTGAAGGTGGACTCCAACTGCAATGGCTATGTCACCTGGGTAAGGAGGGTGCCCTGCTGCCACAGAAAGGTGGGAAAGGCTAGAAGGTCAGTGGAGCAAGCAGAGGCTTGAAGATGGAAGGCATCAAGAATCAGAAAGTCAAAATGGACTCTGGTACCAGTTGGGACACTTGCTAAGTGGAGGGAAGTTTGGTGTCTGTGAGGAGGCTCCCTTGAGACCTCTGTGAGATAGGCTCATTGGCTCCCACACTGAGACCTTCCCATCAAGCATTCACTCCTGAGGTATAGCTAGTTTGCCTGTACTTCAGAGCCATTCCCTCCTGGTGTAGGGGATCTTCGTTGGTATCATGATGGTTTTATGGCCCTTTCTTATCACTCAGGGGCAGGCGAGCCCATGGCTGTTGAATCAGGTCTTCGTAGTGTAGTGATATTATTGAATTGAAGGAACTCATAACATTGAATAGCACACATGGCATTAAGGCTACAGAAACATGCAGAGCTTCGACGGGGATCAGAGAGACTGATGTAAAGATGATGAGGCGCCATGCTCAGCACTTGGTGTATTCCTCTGCTGAAGTCCCACAGGATATGGAAGAATAGAGGCTGGGAAACTTGAGGCTCAGAACCATTAGGAGCTTGGTTTCAGAGTTACAGAGCTGTACCAGCAGAGCCTGTGTTCAAACCAGAGGAATGTGCCTCAGAGGTCTGTGGGGTAACTGCCTCAGATGAATACCTCCTCATGGTTTGGGTGTAATGTTCCCAGCATTCCCTGTCTACATGATTCTTGCCATCTCTTTTCTTTTTTTGTGGTGCTAGGGGTTGGACTCAGGGTCTTGTGCATGCTATGCAAACATTTTACCACTGAGTTAGTTCATCCTCGGCTCCCCTTCCTCTATCTCTTCTCTCTGCCCCCACCCCTTTCTCATTGAGATGGGTGCTCTGTTGTCCATGTTGGTCTTGAACTCTTGGACTCAGGTTATCCTTCTTGGTCAGCCTGCCGAGTAGCTGGAACTAACGTGTCACCATCACTGGTTCCTGTTTCTTATTAGCTTCATATGTTTGGGCCTTGGCCATGTTTCAGTGAGGCCGGTCACTGGAGCCCAGAGTTGCAGATATTTGCAGGGTAGGAGTACCCCCATAGCTGTGGGTCTCCCCACTGCTAACTCGATCGTGGGCTTGGACCAATCAGATATGGTATCTCAATTGGATTATCCTCCGAGTGAAGCAGAGGTGACCTGAAGCTTTCCATGGGCAGCCAGGTGGTGTGGCTCTGGCCGAGGGGCTTTGTGTTATATATCATTCTTGCCACATTTGAGATTCAAGCGCAGGCCTGTGGCTTGGCTACTTTCCTGGTGAGTACTCCGAGGACGGCCTTCAGAGGCACTCGGAGGGGGCTGTAGGGAGATGAGGAAAGACACAGGCTTGGGTCCCCAAAGGCAGACATTAAGACCACTGCCAATACCTTCTTTCCCTTGCTTTGTCTTTCTGAGACAGCAAAAGTACGTGGACTATATGATGCGTGAGTTCCAGGGCAAGGAGGAGATGAGGAAGAGCCAGTACCGCCTGCGCTTTCACCTTCCCATGACCATCATTCCCATGTAAGAGCCTCTTCCCTGCAGCTGAGGTCCTCAGTCCATGAGTCACTCTGCTGGCCCAACCAAGGTGGTGGATGGCTCTTGTCCTTTCAGCTTGTCCCTCACAACCTGTAGGTGGTCGTGATGACAAAGGTAGGTGGCTTGTCCCCTTTTCACAGACGAGGAAGCCAAGGCTCAGCGAGGCCAGCCTGATGGCCTGCTCAGGCTAACAGGCGGAAAGCGATGGGGCAGTTAACTCTAAGTTCTCCCCCCCCCCCCCTTTTCTGCACGCTGAAGTTTCTCTTATTTCTCTGTATGGCCAGTGCTGAGCAAGTCTTGTGGTGTCATCCTTAGAGACACAGATGGCTCACACATGTGCAGCTAGGAGTCTCCTGTGAGGTGACAGGGAGGAAGCTGGCCAAGCTGTGGAGACCTTGTGAGGCCTTGCTGACCCTCATAGTGGCTCTGTCTGCCCTGCTACTTGCTTGCATGGTGTCCCCTGGAGCTTGGCCTTGGAGGGCTTCTGTAGCAGATGACCTACAAGAGAAGATCATACATACTTACTTCATATGTTTTACATTTTCATGGGAACCTTCCTAGAGAAGTGAAAGTGCTATAAGCTATAAGTCCCAAGTGTCTGTGTGGTAGGTTTTAGGAAGAGTGAAAAGTTGTGGGGAAATGGCTGATTTGATGTTTGAGATGGACCTCATGTATTCTAGTCTGGCCTCCAACTCACTCGAACTTTTGATCTTACTACCTTCTGCTTCCTGAGTGCTTGGGTTACAGGCATACAGCTAGTTTTATGCAGTACTGGGGATCAAATCCAGGGCTTCCTGCATGCTAGCCAAGCACTCTTTCAAATGATTTAAATCCCCAGTGACTTGGGGAAATTAGGGCAAAGTAGGGAGGAGTTGGTGTAATAACTGGAGGAGACTTAGCCAGCCTGCCCATTCCTAGACTTCTTTGTATCTATCCTTGGCTTTTCAGAAGGAAGGTTGTAGCTATGAGTGGTGGTACACACCTGTAATCCCAGCACTCAGGTGCTTGAAGCAGGATCATAAGTTCAGGGTTCCCTTCAGCTATACAATGAGTTGGAGACCAGCCTAGTATACAGGACACCCTGTTTCAGAAAATAAAAGAAAAAAAAAAGATAATAAGGTTGCCCCCACCTGGGATCTTATGATGGCAACAAACTGCTTCTCAAACACCTTCAGCTGAATATATTCAATGTCCAAATATCATGCTTTGGAATGGCATGTCTCAAATTTCATCAACCTCTTCCTTTCTGTGCTGTGACCCTGTCTCCCCAGTGATGTTCTTTCCTCTAACACCCTAAGGACAAGGGGCAGTTTGTTGGCTTGCATTGGTTCTCAACCTTCCTAATGCTGTGACCCTTTTGATACAATTCCTCATGCTCTGGTGACCCTCAACCATAAAATTAATTTTGTTGTTACTTTTGTTGCTACTTCTTTGAATCGTAATGTAAATATCTGATATTCAGGACATTTGATATGTGACCCTGTAAAAGGACCATTTGACTGCTGAAGAACTCACGACCCAAGGTTGAGAACCACTGGCTTAGTGAATGCCCCTCTGCCTCCAGGGCTGTTGAGCTGGGCTGCCTGGGGCCCTTTCTCCTTTCCTAGAACCACCCTGGGTTGGAGCATCAGCAGCCTGGGCTGTGTGGCCAGGGTGCTGGTTTCTGTGGTGCACAGTTTGGTGAGCTACATTTGTGGTCTGGTGAGAGCAGGCTGTGGGCCTGCCTTATAGAGCCACACCCAGTGCAGGCTGTGGAAGAGCAAGCTGTAGAGGTTGTCTCTGCCTTGGGCAGCCTGAAGCTTCAGTGGAGAGGGTAGTTTAATGGAGATCATAGAAGAGTAGCTTGTAAAAAGAAATATGGTGGGGAGTTAATTGAGGAGTAGCCAATTAAATATGAATGATGAGATATTTTATAACTGTAATTTTGACATGAACATTTGGCTTGATGTAGCTTCTTCTTCACTGGTCTTTCTGTTTCTTCAGATCTCAAGAATGTTTAAAATCTGTGACACAAAATTCTTAGGAAGCTTTTTCCTTATTTGCTTTCATTTATTTCTACAGCTTACAGACCCAGAGGGATCTCTGATCTCATGGGGAAAGTAGCCATAATGGCCAAGCAATGTTTAGTTAATTTTATGAGAGGGTGACTCTTAAAACTCAGCTCACTTTACTGAGTCTGGGTTCAGCACACACCCAGCACACCACCCTCTTTGATCCTCTCACTGTCCAGAAAGGGAGAGGCACAGTCAGCATGCTGAGAGGAAACAGATCTCCCAATGACGCTATTCCCAGGGCTGTGTTAGTGTCAGGTCTCACATCTCTATTCCCCAAGTCTCTGCCCTGATAGAAAGGGCAGAGTTGAAGTGATAGAGAGAGAGACATTTGGGAATATTGGTCACCTTCAGTACAGAGAATTAAGCTGATGGCAGGAGACAAGGAGACCTACAGCTAGACACTCATGTCCCTGTTCCACTGTGGAATTGCATGTAGATTGCCTCTAAGCCTCAGGTCAGCTCATACCTGGAAAAGGCTCTGGAGGAGGGATGAAAGCACTGGCTTTAAGTTCTAGCTCTGCTGGGACTGTGTGGGATGCAACTCCCTGTAATTGATGTGACCTGCCCCAAGCTATCATGATCCAAGATGGGCAGATGACATGGGGGAGTGTGAGCCTTAATAGCCAGAGAAATGGTTTTATTGGCACTGGGGCAGAAAAGCAGCCACTGGCAGGTAGCATGGAGGCTTGCTGGGAAGGCTGTGGGTTAACAGCCTGCAAAGCCAGGCCTTCCCAGGAACTGTTTGCTGTGTTCAGTATCCTGCCCATGGGGAGTTGGGTGCACAGGGCCCAACTCCTTGTTACCCCTTGATCTACTCTTGCCTTGTTTGGCTCTCCTCTTTGCCCCAGAGCATGATAATAATGGTTAGAAAGTGTCATTTCTCAAGTTTCTGTCACAAGCTATACCCTGCTTGCCATATGTGGGCTGTTTCTCCTGTGAAAGAAGCTCTGAAGATCTCCACTCTCCATCTCTGCTCTCCCATTACAAAGTGAAGAACCCGCTGGCCAGCTCTAGAAATCAGCTTTAGAGTCTATCTCATACTGTATTGTAGTTGGTTATTTTTCTGGATGGAACCCAAGGCCTCACACACACTAGGCAAACAGTCTACCACTGAACCTCTATTGGGGTTCATTTTCTTGTGGCCTTGTTGATCCAGTTGAAGTCCATTTGGAGAAGGGGCAGAGTCCCTTGTCTCCTGGAGCTGCCTACAGTTTCTTGGTGTGTGTGTGTGTGTGTTGGTGTGGGTTGGTGGTGGTGTCCACACACACACACACACACACACACACACACACACACACATGCACCAGTGCAGCTGTCCCATTGGCCTCTGTCCTGCCTCTGCTCTGGCTCTTGGTTCATGCAGATACTTCCTTTCTGAGTTGTATGCTTGCTTCTTGCCATTTGTAGGCACCATGGGAGTGAGATTGTGAAAGTGGCTTTTTTAATCCAACGATTCAAAACGATTGGGTGTTTCCTGACTGTCACCAAAGATGGGATCCTGCAGTTCTGGTCTGAGAGTTTCTCGATGATGAACTCCTTTCGGGTGAGTAGGACACTCATGGGGTTGGTGGAGAACCTCTCTTGTGGCACCCAGAGTGGACTTGTCCTTGGTTGGCATTTATTATCTGAGAAACCTGGCATTGAAGTCACAGGGCTTGGGTCAATATTCTGACTTTACTATTGGAGCCTCATACTTGTCACCTACTAAGCAGAACACTGCTGGGATGTCTACGAGGCACCTCCAAAGCAGTTTGACCAGGAAGTGTGTCCTTGGAGTCCCCATCTCAGTGAATGTTATCCTCCAGTCTCTGTGCCAGTGTCCAGCCTTCTCTCCTTGCTCTATCATATCCACACAGTCCCTAAATCCTGATGATTGAAACCTTTGTCTGGTTCAGGCAGGAAATCATGGTATTTGGGCTCTGGGGTCCAACTACCAGAGTTTGAGTCCCAGCTATACCATACAACAGTTGTGATGTCTCTGAGATGTCTTGCTGAGATGTCTCTGATTCCTTGTATGCCCAAGGAGACTTAGAGTAGTAGCCCCTCTCAGGGATGAAGGGAGAACTTAATAGTATGGATCATGGGTCAGGCTTGAGCAGATCAAGGCATTCATCACTGGCTTATATTAAGATGAGTATAAGCCAATAGAACCATGGGCTTTCTGCTATCATCTCATGGCCTAGTGTAGTAAGGAATGACACATTCAGGCAAGTTTTCTGGGCATTTGATGCTTCCAGGCTAATGGAGGATCCCGTAGCAAACAACGAAAGGCCTGACTTCCAGGGCTCCTCAGTAAGGCTCATGGAAAACACTATCAGCAGTGTGAAGGGCTTCACTACTGTGTAGCCACACAGTGTTTTACACTTACAGCAGGGGTCAGCCCTTGTGGGAGGAGAGACCTAGGTGGGGCTAGGGTATGTAGAGGTTCCCTGACTCTCTTGGGGGCCGTGTGTGTGTGTGTGTGTGTGTGTGTGTGTGTGTGTGTGTGTGTGTGTGTGTGTGTGTTTTCACATCTGCATTCCTGAGCCTATGGTTTCTGGCATACTTTGTCTTCCCTTTCTCTACCTGTCTGTGGAAGCAGGGAACTTGATCTCTTGGCAGTGACTGCTATATGGTCACCTGTATGGCCCTTGAGGGGCCAGAGCTGGGGAGCCTGAAGAGACAGAGGAAGCCTTCTTGGGAAGTCCTGAGAGTTCTGGAGGTTCTTCCCGAAGGGGCTGGCTTGGGATAGATTGTGGACCTCTTAGGACCATCAGCCAGGACCCACTGGGGGCTTACTGCATGCAAATGGGAGGCTTTGCAGTGGGCCTGGCCTTAAGTCACTGGGATCATGAAGATGGGTGACGGTTAGGCCCATTTTACAGGTGAGTTTAGCCAAGGCTCTGTTTTTAGTTCTAGTATAAGGCATGCCAGGACTATGCTTGCTCTGGGACCTTGTGTGGCAGGAAAGGTCCCTGCACCTCTGTACTCGGCTAGTAACTTTCTGTGATCTGAGGCTCTGTTCTTATGCCAGCTTAATCAGACCCAGCAGTTCGGCCGCCAGCAGATGTGGGTTGTCGACATGGTATGTATGCACAACATGAACCTCATTGCAGTTGCCTCAACTGAGCTGAAGATAGGTGAGTCCCTGGGGCTCTCCAGGCCCATCCTTGGCTTCTAGTGAGCGGTGGATTTGCACTTGGGACAGACCTGTTGGCTGAGGCTTGGAGCATGAGCATGAATGGGAGTCCTCTGGGAATGTTGTTGGGTAGTGAGGGCTCCTGGGTGCTGTAGGAGGCACTGGGTGTTGGTTGCTTATGTTGGTTGTTGCTTTGTAGGCAGATGTGCTCAGTGAATGCTGAATGTCTACAAGTATTGAGCAATTCAAATCGAAAACCACAGCCAATGCCAGTATCCAGCTTGATTCTATCCTCGTGTCATTCTGCCTTCCAGCCCAGGCTATCTTTAGCTGTCACTGGGATAGCCCTGAAGCCTCCTCTTGCTTAGCACATTTCCTCTGAAGGTCCCTCTACAGATGGGTTTTTGAAATGTCTCCTTGCAGAAAACCCTAAGAAAGCACAGGCTGCAGGAGGAGACTTAGCGTGGCCCATGGGGTGAGGGATGTCTGGCCCCGGCTGCCCATAGTTTCCCTTGGTCTGGACCCTGCTCTTGTGCTGAGGATACTGTGACCTCTTGCCATCTCTGATGGGCACTGTGGGTCAATTTGCATGCTCTGCCCTGCCTCCCACACCTCTCCCTATCCCAGCCAGAGCTGCTACTTTTCCTTTGATTCATCACAGTGTTACTTCCTCCAGAGACCCTTCCATGACCACCTAGTCCAAGTCAGGCGCCTCTCAAAATCATCCCTGCTAAGCTCTTCAGAGTGTGATCGTGTATTTGTCACTAGTGTCTGTCCAGGAGAGTCTCTTCTCCTCTGTCCTGGAGCTCAGGCAGGGAGGACTGTTTCTGCTTCACTCACATCTCAGTGCTTGATGCCACCTAGAGGCTTAGTGGCACTGGGTAGGTAGGTGGATGGACAAAAGGTTCAATTGACCAGATCATCAAGGAGAGGACATTCCTGTGTGTCCTCATGACCCACGGTGCAGAGCTAAATAGGAGACTGGAGAGTGGCTATTCTGAAACAGCCAGTGCCCAGGTTTCAACTCTGGTCCTGCCACTCAGTAGGTGTGTGACTTTGAGCAGCTACTTTACTTTCGAGGGCTTTGGTCTACTCAGAGGAAAACCAGGGTCAATGCTCTGTATCTCTAGGGTGAGTGTGGGTTAGCGATTGGATGTACGAGGTGCTTGGCATATGTTAGCCAATGATGTCCTTATCAAGAGGACAGACTATGACACAGCCAGAGAAGCAAGGGCTTGAGCAATTAGGAGCTGGTTGCCCATGATTCCTAATGTTCTCTCCCTTCGCCCTCAGCCCTGAGAGCCTGGCCCCATCTCCTCAAGCCGTCAAGCTCTGCCGACTGAACAGATGTAATCTGCTCAGAGCACTTGGTCAAGGGTTGAGGGCTACCAGCATGAACCTTGACCTGTGTGGCTCAGCCCAGCTAGCCCTGCTCTGTGACTCATAGCCCTTCTGGGATGGCTGGGCCTGTAGCTGGGTCTGTAGGAAGCAGACACTTAAGGGCCTGTCATTCTAACATGGGAGTCTGCTCCTCAGCCTCATTCGACTGACTGATTTGAGGCCAGGGCTGCCAGAAGGTGCCAGGCTTCTTAGGGGGTAGGGTTTAGTCAATAGCAGCTGTGTGTCAGGGATCCAGAAGGCTTTTGGGCAGGGTAAAATAATGTTTCAAAAGACCAGTCTGGCAGGCTGGTTTTAGACAGTGAGGATGGGGGTGGGGAAGCTGTGTAAAGCTATCCTATAATCTGTTCTTCATATGCACCTGCATGTGGTGAGCTCACCTGGTCTCTGATTTGCTTGGGTTTACCAGCTCTAGCCCTGATGAGGGGTGGTGAGTGATGGAGAGCAGATCTATTTGTTTCTGTTTGTTGCTCAGCAGAGTGGAGCCATGGGTGCTGTGTTAGATGCTGAGAACCCCACAGGTGCCATGTAAAACATGCTCCCTGCATTCACACACCTCTCAGGCCAGGCCAGGCAGCTCCTGCAGTCAAATAAAACAGAAATGAACTTGAGGCAGAGATAAAGGTGGTGAGGGAGATTGACAGGCAGCGAGCCAGGTGGGAGAATTCCAGCAGGCCTAGCTGATGAGGGGGAAGCCTTTCTAAGGAGGGGTCACAGAGCTGGTCTGGAAGGGATCTGGGGGTATTCAAGGTGGGCAAAGTAGGGAGTGGCAGGCCCAGAAGTATATGAGGTTGATGTATCTACAGAGGTAAAAAGCTGGCATGCTTAGAGCCTACTGGCTGGACAGGGGCCACAGGCAGGCAGGGGGAGGCACAGAGGCGCTCTTCTATACAGAAGTTACACTGGGCTGTGGAGGACCAAATTCTAGAGGAATTTACAGGCTGAGATCTGCAAAAAGGCTTTTGCTGTGGCTGCAGTGGGGGTCAAAGGGCAGTTAGCAGCTGGATCTTGGCTTGGTGAGTGGCTGTGCTCAGCTCTCTCTCTTGGATGATGTGGGCGTGGGGTGCGGTGGGCTACAGGGCCAGAGAGGTGGCAGGGAGTGCTGGAGGCTGCTTGCCACTGCCAGAGCCTCCCAAGCCTGAGCCGTGGTTCTCGGCTCTGTATGTCCCTCTCTTTTCTCTTTTCCAGAGTTCTTTGATATCAGTAACCAGAAATGTGTCCGGGCCTTCACCTTTATTGACCTGGATAGCTGTGTCATGGTCATGGACTATTGGTAAGTTTCACAGGAGCTAGGGCAGGGTCTTGGCAGCTACCACATCACTGGGAAGGGGGCTGGGATCCCAGAGAGGCACCTGGGAGAGTTGGTTCTGAGCTCATCGCCATATTGCCCCTCACTGCTTCTCTTCCTGGATCGTGCACGTCACTCTACTCTTAGAGTCACCCTTACTCCCCTCCCCCTTTTCTTTCTTATCCCATCAACCACTTAGTGTTAGCAGAGGCTTGACCTGATGCACCGAGGTCTCTAGGAAGTAAAAGTGGTTGAAACAGAACCTGAATTTTGGTTCAGTGATGATTGGGATGTGCTTGGCCATGGACAAGAGGCCCAGAGCAAGGCTGGAAGTCTGTTGGAACTGTCCTTGTCCCTAAGGAAGACAGGGCCTTGGGGCAGTAGGGCAGAAGGCTCCACAGGAAGGGTTAATAACCCAACAGCTTCAAGCAGCCTGAGAAACTCCATGCAGGAAGTTTGGACACCCTGGTAACATCAGTGAGAGCAGTGGTCAGTTACAAGGAGGGCGGTCAGTGGCAAGGGCTCAGCACATCATTAGGACCTCCCAGGAGATACCAGTGTGATAGGGATTCCTTTATGACCTGGGAAAGCAGAAAATGTCTTTAGACAAAAATCCTCCTACCCCCAAATTTCCTTTTCTGCCCTATTTAAAAACAAAAACCCAAATCCCTGGTGCCCTGTGCACAGCTGGAGCTCTCATGGCAGAGAGGCTGCCCTTTGTTGTTCTGATTGAAGGCAGTCCTCTTCTGTAGAGGCCAGTCTCCTCTTTATTTCTATGTCACCTCAGTCAGTCCCGATCTGACACACAGCACGTTCTCTTCTTCTTCCCCCAGGTCTGACAATAACAAAGGTGTTTTCTGCTATGGGGACACCAAGGGCAATGTCGTTATCTTCATATCTGACAATGTGGCTAGTGGGCTGTTCAACCCGCACATCCTTCCCCGGACCTCCAAGTGGGGTAGCTACAGGACATGGGAACGGGCAGAGGCCTGGGGAGTGGGTAGACGTGGATGCTGAGTGGATGCCTGACTCTGAGGCATTCTTTTTTTTTTTTTCAGATTTTTTTTTTTTACTTGAATTAGAAACAAGATTGTTTTACATGTCAATCCCAGTTCCCTCTCCCTCCCCGCCTCCCTACAACCTCTCCCCCCAACTAAAACCCTATCTATCACATATCCTTTCTGCTCCCCAGGGAGGA